CATCCAGGCAGTGTGTGACCTGGTCATAGAAGGCTACAAGGTTTGTCAGGCAGGATCTACCTATTTCAACTCAGCATCGTTTCCCCTGCTGGGCCTGCACAAATGTGCTCTTTGATTATTTTCTCTAGCATTTTCCCAGGAATAGAGGAAAGACTGACTGGTCTAAAGTTACCCGACTCATCCCTTCTCCCTTTCTTGAAAATGGGCACCACATTGGCCCTTCTCCAGTCCTCAGGGACCTGGCCGGAGCACTACGAGTGCCAGCGGCTCAGCTATGACACTGGCCAATTCTTTCAGCAGCCGTGGATGGAGGTCATCCGGGCCTGCTGACTTGTACCCATCCAGCTCCTCCAGGAGCTCCTTAACTATTTCAGAACTAACCGTAGGCGGACTGGTGCCATGTGGACATCCGTCAATGATCGAGGTGGGGGAATTGGCTTGGTTAGTACTTAGAAATACTGAAGTGAAGAACTCATTGAAGAGCTCTGCTTTTTTCCCCGCATCAACCACCAACTGTCCTGATTTATCCTGCAGGGGCCCTATGTTGCTCTGAGCTTTCCTTTTGCCTGCTACATACCTGAAAAAGGGCTTTTTATTATCCTTGATTGTTGAAGCCAGTCTGAGCTGGATATATCTCCAGTCAATATATATGTGACTGGTTTCCCCCTTGGTATAAGAATTGTCAGGATAACAAATGTAATTGTGGAAAATTACTATTTCTAGCCATACATTTATACCTGTGTTAAAATTTACTGGATATTTTTCTGTTTCAGAGACTTCTTCAGGTACACCCAAATCTGGCCAGTTCCTTATCCCTCATAGCTTAGCACTGATACCAGACTTCGCTCAGCTGTGTGTAGCAGACAGGGAAAATGGAAGAATTCAGTGTTTTAGGTTAGAAACTGGAGAATTCACAAAAGAAATCAAGCACAAATCATTTGGAAGAGAATTATTTGCAGTTTCATATGTTCCAGGTAATGACTTCTCATTTTTTTCCCAATTTTGTATATCTGCTTAACAGCTTGATATAAGGATGCACTTTATTCTTTTATTAAGAAGCAGTATATCACATTACAAGTTAAATATTTGTTCCATTTCAAGACCTTGTTTAATTTGGTGGATTATTTTAGAACTATCGTATTTTATTTAAAAAGAAACAAAAAACTATCATACCATCCCCTTCTTGAGAAAAGAAGAAGAAATTAGTGTTCTTCAATGTATTATTTGTCAACAACAAGGGCAACAACCTTTTTGCTCTACTTAAGTAACTATACAATTAAAACATTGGTAAATAATTTTTAAATTGTTCATTCCAGCAATTGTTCATTAGGGAAGCAATAGGAAAGGAAAAAAGTTTCCAAATCAGGGAAATAAATGATAAATTGCTTAATGAACACCTAGAAGATCAGAGAATATAATAGTACCTGGTGGCTTTTCTGTTTTTCAAAAGTAGGTTCTGAAAAAGAGGGGGAGAAAGAGCCATTATCAGGGCCAAGTTCAGAACTGGAACTAGAGTTGAGGAATATTCAAATTGGAGCTGTACTTGAATGTCAGTCAAAGAAAATATTTCCCCTCTTGTATGAAGTCATAGGTATCTCACACGTTCTGCTACTTAGAAGTTCTCACCAGAGTAACACACGCAAGTAACACATTCTTATGTTTTTTAACAGCTTATTAAAGTTTTAAATCTGGATATATCTCCATCAGGGGGGAAGAGAGTTGTATCTAGAAATAGAAGGAGGAATAAGAAAGAAACAGAGAAGACAATAGTTAGAGGCACATAACTGAGAAGGAAGTAAGACCTTCCTTTTTTAAAATCCAGAGCAGCCAGGGAGAAGAATAAAAGTGAGAACACAGAATGGAGAAGCAGAAGAAAGAGAGAATGTGGGGAAGGAACCCCCCATTTACAAAACAGCAGCTCTTCCTGTTTGTAAAGTGTTGCCCAGGAAGAGGCAGTTCTCGTATTCAGAACTGTCAAAGTTCTAGACAAGGGTGGAGGCACCATTTGTTTTTCTTGAACACAGTAGAAAGCAAGGACATCAAATGCATAGCACTCTTTGAAGTGGCCGATCAGCCATTATAAATTTCGGCATCTGCACAGGGGGTTGGCTAAACGACCTCACACAGGATACCAAATTGTGTCTTATCCCTAATGGTCCAGACAGACGCGCCCAGTTGCTGAGGCAGCAGTGTCATGTGTTTTGTGACTTGGTTTTTATGATAAAGTTACGAAGTAGAAGACATGAAAATGAGCCTTGTTTTGTTTGCGTTGAACTGCTTATAAATGACACCAATACCACTCGCTTTTGACCTGGTTTTGAATTTTCTTTCAACTCATGTAGTCTTTTGATATCTCCTGCCCTGCTCTTCTAATTCAGTGGTGGCCAGCCTGTTTGACAGGCATGCCACAAATTAGCCCCATACCGTCCCCACATGCCACTCTGACCCCCTTTCTTTGCCTAATTGCTGCTTTGCTTCCTGTTCCTGACTCTGCCCCTGCCTGATCTCCTGCTGTACTTTGTACTTCTTACTCCATCTGCTGCTGTGCTGTCCATCTCCTCCCTGATCTGTCGTGTGCCAGACAAAGGCTGCCCATGCCACTTGTGACAACCCATACTGTAGGTCAGCCACCCCTGCCTTAATTCATTCTGAGCCTGACCATTTCAGATGCTCCACAAGAGCACTTTTCCATTAGATTACACAGCTCCCACACCTAATGACTTAAATAAATATTTTAGTGTGTCTGGAGCTCTTCTCCTTCCATGGTTGCATCTGATTCTTTCTCTGTGAGGCACTCTTTTCTTGTCCATCTTGTTAAAATTAAGCTCAGTTGTAAATGGAGGCATGTAATTTACCATCTATAAGTCATTAAAGAATATGAATTGTTTGTGTTTCAGGTGGTCTGCTATTTGCAGTTAATGGAAAGTCATACCCTGGAGACCTAGAACCTGTGCAAGGGTTTGTGATGAACTTTTCCACTGGAGAAATTATTGACACTTTTGTTCCAGTCAGAAAGGTAGAGTATTGCTCTGTAAGCAGCTGAATGTGCTGATATTGAGCTCCTTCACATATCCTGTGAATGCTAACAATCATGAGGCTGATTTTTATATTGTATTCTATTGAAATCTTTCATCTTGTTCCTTAATAGTTCCTCTGTCACCACTCACCTAATGAAACTATATGTGACATTTCCAGGTGGGAGTTGTCTGAGGTCCAACAGACTCTGCACATTAGTCTTTTTATGTTGCCATGAAAATGAGGCCTTTGGGAAAATAGGGAATGTCTAATTCTTTAATTAAAGACAGGGGTGGGCAACCTACAGCCTGGGCGCCAAAAGTGGCATGGGCAGCTTCTCTGTGTGACACACTGTAGTCTGGGAAGGGGGCACGTAGCACAGTGGCAGATAGGGCAGGGAGCAGAAAGTAGAGCGCTAGTTTGGTCAGGGAGCACAGGGCAGGTAGCAGAAAACTGCACAGCAGGTCGAATAAGAGGAATCAGAGTGGTGCTCTGGGAATTTGCAGAGCTAATTATGGCACACCTGCAAAAAAGGTTAGCACTCACTGGTTTAAAAGAAGAACTAAAGTTTTGATTTTTATATCACCATGATATACTAAAGTGTAAAAATAGTGCTTCTACTTAGGAGTATAATGTGGATATATGCCTTCTTAGCAAACACGCTGAGCTAAACTCTGCTTACTCAATATTGATCAAATTCCATAATACAAATTAAAATGAATTTCAACTATGAAGTTTTCTTGGCTTGTACTAAATCAAAGAAAGAACATCAGAAGTCCCCCATACTGTGTATCCCATATCCTGTTTGTTGAAAGCCTATTTTAAGCTGCACCAGACAAAGATGTTTTTTTTCTGGGCGTTTTTAAATTGCTGTGTCCACATTCAAAACTCTATAAATAAAAATAAATACATGGCTTGAAACCAACATTCAGAGTTTTATATAAAGCCATTTAAGGATGTCACATGATAATTAATACAACATTAGCTCTTTAAAGGGTTTTTTTCTTACTAATAATCTCAGCTGGAGAAAGACTGTGTACAATTGTGGAGGAGGTTTTATTTTTTGAGTGGATGTACATATTCATGGTAGTGTTTTCAGCCAATATTCATAATCATGTTGGCAAATTTTGCATGCTTCCATAGAGCAGTTGCTGAAAATTTGACTCTTGAGTCTGCACAATAAAGCATCTCCCCAATTTTCATAAATATTCTGCAGTGAAATAAAAAAGATGCAGTTCTTAGATGTAAGAATATATTTTCAGGAACAGGTAGACTAGTTTATGATCCAACCCCAAATTTCTTCATAAAAAATACTATAAAACATTCTTAGAAATGAATGAATGTAAGCAAAGCATCTATCAGCATCCTGTTCCCTGAAGTAGGGTAAACAATCTGAAAAGAATTGGAGTAGTGGAGGAAAACTTGATATTTATTAATGCTTTCAGAAAACAGTTGCAGTTATACTTGCAGTTATATTTAGAAGTATAGAAAGATGCTGAGCAGACTGGAAAGTAAGCTGTATGATGAACCTTTTTGTTGGTAGTAGGTATGTTTAGTTTGGAGAAAAGTTGATTAAGGGGAAGCATGATAGCAATTTTCAAATATTTGAAAGGCTGCCATTGAGATGATGATTCTTCTCTGCCTTAGAACATGGCACAGTGGAATTTAAATAGCAACAAAGTAGATTTAGATCAAATCTCAAGAAAAAACTTCTGAAATGTTACAAGAGTAAGAAGGTGGAATAAGCTGCCTCGAGAAGCTGTGAAATCTTCACTGGAGGTTCAAGAAAAGGCTGGAGTTGCCTCTCTGTAGGATGCTTTAGGAACAGAAAATCTGGTATCTGTGAATTAGTAGATCCTCAAGGTCCATTCCAGTTCTATGATACTTTCTTTCCTTCTGCATCATTCTCTATTCCATTCAGGACGTTAGAATAACTTCCGCAGCAAGTGATTGTCTCTCACTTTGTTTTTTCTCAGTGCATAGCAGACCGTTGTTGTAATCCTGTGTTTGAGGATGTATTGCTCATGTCTGAAAAAGTAAATAAGCTTTAAGAACTACCTGGGCCCAGTTCACTCTTTCATTTGGGCCTCCTGTCTCTGCATCATAAACAACAAAGCTTGAAGAAGACAACTTATGCTTTGTTTCTAAGTAAGAAGCTGGTCTTAGATAGAGTTTAGATTTTGTAATTCTGACTCCGGTTTGAAAGAGAAGGACCCCAAGTTAGTCTGTAAGATAAATGGTGCACCTTATCCAGTGGGCAATTAATTGTTCTAGACATGGAAATTAATTTGAAAGATAACTGGAAAAAGAGCCAAATGCAAGAACAACATCTGTTTGTGGTATCTTGCACTATTTTCAGCGTTGTCCATAGTTCCTTGGTACAAGACTTCCGAAACTCTCCTAGCTCTTAAGAGGTGTTGATGCTAGAGGACTGTAACGGTGGGGGTGGAAATAGAGCACAAAACAGGTTACCTACTGGGAACTTTTTCAAAGAGTTATCTTCAAAGGGGGGAAAAATATGTAACTTTCCTTTTTCCTTTAAGTAAACTAATTTTAAATTGTACCAGACATAGGTATTACTCCAGAGTTTACTCAGCACACAGCAGTTTATTGCTTCTTGTGGAAGTCCCTTGTTTAACTATGTTATAGGCACAAAGAACAGAGTGTAGGCCAAGAAATTAATTTAAAGTATAAAGACAAATAGAAGAGGAGGCTGATCCCTGCAGATTAAAGGCCAAATGACCACATTTATTATTATTTTTCCACTATTTCTTCAAACTTCTTTCTTCCCCCAGGTTTTACTAAGCAGAGAGTATAATTTGTGCCATATGCTACCTATTGCTTCTGCGGCACTAACCAAGCTGCTGAACTGATTTAAATTTATACCTTAGATACTTGGACTTTTACTTCTGCATTATGCTTCTACCAATGCTTTTCCTGCAGAAAATCTGGTATATCAAAATCCTACTCTAGTTACAGGACTTTCCAACTTCGGAGTAACTAGTGGTTGCAAGCTGCATGGGTTTTAGGCTTTTTCCCCACCGTCCCTGGTCACTGTAAGTACCCCTACTGTCCTGTACTGCAAGGCACTTTATCATGCTGCAGTGTTACAAGTCCCCAGGTCACAGGCTCCCTTGGCCCTATGACCTCACTGTTCGGGGTAGAAAGCAGAAGCTGGAGAAGGGAATGGGATCCTAGAGAGCCCAGCAGCAGCAGGACAGCAATGGGGTACCTGGACCAGGGGTCAGTGGGCTGTGAGTTACCCCTTGTTAGACACCAGTTGGACAGCCCAGCTCTAGTAAATTATTTAATTCTAGGAAACCTTATGTCAGGACTCTGTCAGCATGGGCATATAGAACCTTTTTTCAATCTATTGCAAATATTAATGTGTAATTAAGGTTGTTCGTGCCAACTGATTATCTATAAGCATCTAAAATATTATTTGCCAAATAATGAAATGAATAATAGAGATTATTATGTGGTAGACAAAATTACTGTCATTATTCTTATTTCCAAATACATGGTGAACACTTTTGTGGTTCCTTTCCCTCCCCACATCACCTGTGCTTGAGAGGATTGAGGGCTCTTTTTTAGTGGTTTTTAGGAAGGCTGGTGTTTTCAGTGGTGCTAAGAAGTCATATTTATAAGGTATGTGTATGATACATCAAAAAACATGTGCCAGCGAATGGTTGATTGCTAATTCAGTAAGTCATGTATTAGGAAATGGCATGTTAAGGTTATCTATACATATTGTGGATTGCTTCATTGCACGTTGTGTATGTGGTAGAGAGGCATCTGTTTACCCCTTTTCCACCCCTCCCCTATGTGCATCTGTTGTAAATTTCTGGAAACCAGTTGACTATTTATTTAGCTATGCAGAGCTGTAATAGCCACGTTTAGTTTCTTAAACATTCACTTTAGAATACCAATGAAAACGGACTCTGCCCCAAAATATAAATAATGAATGCTCTGTGCGTTGTATCATATATAATTTAAGCATTCTCAAAGCGATGACAATAACTACGATCCCTGGAGGAATGACTTCAAGAAGGTTCAGTTCCTACCCCTTCTCTTTTGTTAACTCCAGGCACCTGGATCAGTTGCAGCTTGCATTATATGAGGACTGAGGCTCAAATTTATTTTCCTTTGTGATCTAACTGCATTTTCTTGTATAGTCATTCAGCTGTGATTTGTGGTTGTTTATATTGACAGAACTTTGAGATGCCACATGATATTGTTGCTTCAGAAGATAAAACAGTATATGTTGGAGATGCTCATGCCAGAACAGTATGGAAGTTCGTATCTTCAGAAAGTATGTTTCTTCTTTTTATTTGCTGTCTTAAAGACCCTTCCCATAACCATATTCTCAGTGAAAGTATCCTCTGGCTGTTTTTTTTCAGGTTCCACTTTCACATCCTACTGCTTTTGTGTAAGCAACATGCAGCAAAAAATTGGTTGGTCTTTGTGTCAGCCAAACTGACTGTTGTTGACATGCTAATGGTTTTGTCTGACTATCTAAATCTTTGCATTCTCAGTTTTTCTTACAAAACCAGTGATCTATATTGTTGTATTGCTTGTGTGCATCTAACTGAATGTATAAGTATACTTCAGTGTGTTGTTTGCCGAAAGTCCTGTTTTCCTTAGAAGCTGTTACGTGGAAACTATCTGTGGCTGAAATAGAGTGATAATCCAAAATAAAGTCCCTCTTAATTCCATGGGGAATCTATCAGTTTACCAGATCAATTAATTTACTGCTGTATTTCTGTTAACTAGGAAAACTCCCCAGTTCACTATATTCTTCTAACCCCCAAACTAAGCAGCTTGTTTTTAAGGTGAAGCATCTAAGATGTCATAGATTTCATAGACATTAGGGCTGGAAGGGACCTCGGAAGATCATCGAGTCCAGCCCCCTGCCCCAGGGGCAGGAAGTCAGTTAGGGTCAAAGGGTCCCAGCAAGATAAGCGTCCAAACATTTCTTGAAAGAATCCAAAGTAGGTGCTTGAACCATCTCTGGAGAGTCTATTCCAGGCCTTGGGGGCTCGAATATTCAAGACATTCAACTTAGTGAGCTTCAGGGGAAAAAAATAGATATTTTATAGAAACAACAATAAGATCTACAGATGCCTTACATAGGATATTAAATGCATGAAGAATATGAAACCTCATGTTTCAGGGCATTAGCCAACTGCTGTCTGCCATTAAAATAAACTTGTTATCTAAGCTAGTTATTCCATAGTTGGCTGTTTGTTTTTCATGCACCTTCCTCTGGAGCATCTGGTACTAGCAGATCAGGTACCAGACCAGGTTTACCACTGTTCTGATTGGATACTGTTGTTCCAATGTTCCAAACAGGACACACCTCTACACTTTCATTCATAAGAAAATGAAAAAGTAAAGGTTTATGAAAACTCACCACTAAATAGTTCACTCACAATTTCGCTGTTTTATGAAGTGAGGACTTTGATGTCTATTTTAATATCAAATGTTAACTATAAAAAGACAGTAGCTAGCTAGTTCTGAGCGTACTGAAGACAGTTGGTAGTATTGCTGAACTGGCCTTCCCTTTCCAGTCTAAGGTCATAGGCTAGTGCAGTAACTGTTGACTCTGTTCTTCTTTTTTTCTAAAGAATACTAAAAAAATCGAAACCATTTCCCCCCCCCCCCAGAATAGGCCTTTTAGATGGGATGACACATCTACTGTTAAGTGACTTGCCTTTGCATTGTATAGTATCTTTTAATTCAAGAAGTTTACAAAGTGCATTTCAGACTATGTATAGGAATTCCTTTACCCACTATTGATGTACAGCTATGCAGTGGCGAACCAACAGCAGGGCGAGGTGGGCAGGAGGGGGCCCCTAGGCACCAGCCGGGCCCTTCAGAGTTGTTATCAAGCAATGTGACTTTAAGTATTGCTACAGGAAGGCCTGGGGGGGATGGGGGCTGCAAATGCAAGCACTGGCCCTCCGGGCGCTGGAGACCCATGGTATGTGACTGCAGCTGTGTCTAAGGTAGAAGGGTTTATATTGTACAACAGGCACTACAGGTTATATTGCACTACAGTTCAGGACAGGATGTGAAGTATGTCCCTACTTGAAAATGCAGATGTCACTTGGTGAGAGAAAATATAATTGCCCATCTTGGAATTTGGGAAAGATGCTAGCTTTAGTACTGCTGCTCTTAGGAAAAGTGCTATTTGATTCTAATAGGTGGGCCTTGGCTAATCTATTACACATGAAAAAAAAAAAGACCTCACTGCTAGGAATACAATGTCCTGTGCAGGAGGAGGAACAAAGTTTGAGTGTTAACTCACAGCAGAATTAACATAATGGATGATAGCATATCTACTGTATCCTCAATACTACTTCTCCAGTGCCTAAAGTTTTTTTCCTTGACAGCCTCCAATTTTGTTGTTACTAGGTAATTCCAGCAATACTAAATGTCAGGAATTTGTATTGGGGCCTCCAAAACAACTTTGTTGCGTAGGATTTAGTTGTCATTGCAACCTGTGAGTCAAGCTCATGGTTTCATAGGGTTTTCTGATCAGGGGATTGTTCTGAAACAGTCTTGGTGAAGCTCAAATGCAAATGTGATTATTTACTTTAGGATTGTAAAGTAAAGCTAACAAGAAAATGTCATCAAAGGCTTTCTAAAATGTCAGTTGGTCTGAAGAGCAATTTTGTGTTACAGAAATGGAACATCGATCAGTTAAAAAGGCTGGTATCAAGGTTCAGGAAATAAAAGGTTAGTCTGATTCCTTATGGGAATGGGCAAAACAAAAGTTTTCAGCTAGACTCTTTTTTTTCGCCTTGCAAATGTGCTTGCCAAAAATATCAAAGGAAAAATGTTAATTAGTCTCCCTTTGGTTGTCATTTCCTACAGCGCAGAGTTACAATGAGCTGGCAGGGGGAAGGGATAGAAGGTGGCCTGTGCTCTGCTTTATCTGGTAGACTCAGCTCCATGAGAGAGGAAACACTCCAATTTCAGTGACAAGTGTGTCCTGGAGATTGAAATGAAGGTTCACCCAGGGGACTATTCTACATGACCCTCTGGTATCCACAGATTAGTGTCTGTGTCCATTCCATTAGATGCAGCAATAACTATGGTATACAGGTGTCCTAGTTATCTAGTGAAAAAGTCATACATTCAAAATGGCTGTTGTTTTCATTTTCTTATTTGTGTAGAAGTCACATTGGCAGTCTGGGTATACTGTATGGTATAAAAAACTTCTCAATTTGATCAAAGTTGTTCTCCCAGATTTACTTTTTCCTTTTCCAAAAGATCAGTGAAAATAAGGATAAAATGAGAGAAAAGAATCAGAAGAATATAGGGATTTTAATATAGACAGATAAGGAGAAGTGTACAGCACAAGGTTGAAAGAGGTAGCATAAGTTAACATAGATGAAAAGGACTTATTTTAAAACATTATAATACTCTATTCTACAAGTCTCTTATACAAAAGAGGAAATGATATTTCCCTTGCAGAAAAAAGCACATGGTTATTGAGTGATCCTAGTGGATTGTAGCTACAGTGTTCTTATTTATTTTTGTTCAGTTGAATTCAGAGCAACTGCCCTTGGCTTCAGGCACGTAGACATATATGGAAGTAAGCCAAAAGATCAAAAAACTTAAATATAATCTTAAAATAAAGTACGCTGCTCATATGAGATATTCCACTTCTTGCTACCAAAATCACCACGATATCAAACAGTTTTTCCCAAAGCTTTCAAGGGGAGAAAAAGGGGCCTAATAGCATTTGCGCATAACCACTTTGGGCTCTTGCAGACCATTCTGGGAAACACATTATGGTGCAGAGAATCCTTTAGGAAAACTCCTTTCTGTTTATCATCACCGTTCATTGAAACAAAACTGTTTAGATTAGAATAAGTCAACAGCATCTCATGGATACTAAAGGAGTCGTTAAATAATTACCTGCTAAACTATTTAGGACCACATATGTGAAAACAGACAGTATAAGCTCCACCTGAAAGTGAATAGTATCCAGTGATGTGATGCACTTTGTGTCATTCTTTCCATAATAAATGGACAGATGTGTTTTGCATTAGCTACTTGCTCCTGTTAGAGATATCAGAGTGGAGAATACAGCTGCTATTATGATAGCCGAGTGAAGACGATGTATTGCTGCCAGCATCAGAAGGATTATGCTAGATGGCAGATGGAAGACAGTGCTGTTGGTCATAACAACTGTCTGAGTAACCAAAGAACTAACAGAATCCCATAGTTCTTTGCTGTCATGTCACACTTTAAACGTGAAGGCCCAGTGGTTAATGAAATGTGAAGAAAACATTCCACAAAACACATTGTAATGTCATAAATGTGCATATGAATATTGCAGTGTGTGTATATGTTCATACTGACATGCTATTAAATTTGATATAATTTCATGTGTGATTTTTAGTTGAGCTGTTTTTCACAAAATACTGAAAACCTCACAGGCTGCTGCAATTTGTTTTGAAGTTAAAAGTTTTTACTAATTTAAAACGCGGCATACAAAAATTCTTGCAAAACTTTGAACACGAACAAGATGTAAGTTCATTAGGAGCCTTTGCAAAATAGATGCAGTCCTAGAATCTTTGGACAAAAGCACCTAAGTGGCTAGGAAGCTTACAGTCTCATTGGTTTTTACTGGGACTTAAGCACCTTTGAAAATTAATGCTGTAGGGCACTGTACGGATTTTACAGGAAAGAAGCAACTAAAGAAACAGTAAGTTTTTTCCGGATGTTACTGTTGTCTGCACAGGGCATACAGTGTGAATTAAAAACAAGCAGGAATCTTATCAGAGGATAAGGCACAACGCCGCATTTTTTGGAACATAAAACATGAAACATGAAAAGAATAAAGAAGAGTAAGGTTATCTGCTTCACTCATTCCCATGCGTATTCATTCATTCATACGAAAGAAACAAACACACATACAGATAGACAGTCCTGCAAAGGTTAAGGTGTTACCAAGTTCCAAAGTCACTTGGGTCAGTCTGGTAGCCAGCCAGACTGCCCATAAGGGCTGGAGTCAGGTCTTGTTGGACATGTCCAAAACTCCTTCTTGCAGGTGGAAAGACCCAAAGCCTTGTCTTTGTGTTCATTCTTTATAGTGAGAGCTGTCCGTACAAGCGTATGGATTCCACTGAGTCAGCACAAAGGTCATCCTCCTTGTCCCGTTGGCAGGCTGGGATTGGTAGGGTGTGATCTTCTGGCTTTGCAGTCTGCAGTCTTCACGGGGGTCGTTGCTTGCAGTCTTCAGCCATCAGGGTGAAGGCATGATTTAGTAGTTGGTAATCCTTAACTGCTGACTCGACATTGCTGCAACCTTTAACCATTAAACCACAGAAGGCTATTTTCACCTGCTGCAAGAGGACTGTCTTTCTTCACGTTGTCACATACATACACCATTCATTCTTTCTTTACCTCTTTTTAAACATACCACAGACCTTACATAAGCATTTTCCTTGTATCAAATTTAAGTTCTAAAATCATGAGACCAATAAGTCAAATATATCTAAAATTATGAGACCAATAGTTCAAATATATTTATGCTAATAGGAATAGGAAATGTAAAATAGATGGTTAATTCCAGAACAATAATGATTGATTAAAATATTATAAAAAGTAAATCATAACAAGATTAACTTTATCTTAATGGCTAAATATTTCATTATATAAAAATAACAATATAAGCACTCAAAGCAATTATAGTTACTGCAAGACTACATTATGAAATTCAGAATTTTAAGAGAATTGAGTCTATTAGTTAAACTTAAGCAGAGAGAGCGTTCCAAAAAATATATTTTTTTTACTCTGTGTGTATAGTTTCACTCTGTTCCCTGTAACAGACACTCCCACCAACTCTCCTCTCATCTTGTTCTTTTGGGCTCTTTCTTTGTGTGTTCACTGGACTCTAAGTGATGGCATGTAGCATGACTTACCATGTGTAGACTTCACTGTCGACGTTTCTTGGCCAAACTGGAGCATGGAGAGAGAGAGGAATTATTAATTCTATAAAATTTTTAATTCCTTATCCTTGAATTTCTGGTTTGTCTTCTACAGGGATATCTCTCTGAAAAATTACATAAATACTAATCCAAATGAAAACAAAATGTATTAGGAATAAGAAAAGAGTGGAACTAATAAAATATATTTTTCAAGTATCATGATGTACTTATGTGCTAAGCTAGAAACTAGAAATCAGTCCACTGGTCAAAATGGCTGCTGCACTGCCTTCCCCAAACCCAGCAGTCTGGGCACTTATACACATGCATTGAGGCTGCTCTGACATGCCGGAGCAGACTTGATTAATTGAGTCTGCTGGAGCGTGGCAATTACCACACTCCAGCAGACTCCAGCGTCACATGCATCAGCGTCCCCGCACTGAAAAATGGCAGCAGGGGCACTTTAACTAAAGCTTGTTCGGTGACCTTGAATTAAAGCACCCCCACCACCATTTTTCAGCACGGGGACTCTGATACACATGACGCTCCAGGCACTTCAATTAAAGTGCTCCCCCTCTCCCTCCTCATCACAGAGCATATGTATAAATGCCCTCTAAATCCAAGTGAGCGTGCCATAGACGGTTGGCTGTGAACTTGAAAAGGGATGCCTGCTTAGACATAAAATTGCAATGGCTGCAGACGTTTTTTGTGTGTTTGGAGGTGTGGCCCATGCAAAATAAAGGCCTGTCTTTAGTGTTCTGTTACCTTGAAGTATAATAAAATGTTATCCTGACTTCTGCCATGTGTTTGCAGGCGTATCTATCTCTATCTCAGGTTCTTTAAATCAAGCTAGCTAGCTTGTCACAGGGTGCTGGTTGAATTTTGAGTTTTTCTGACGCTAGTACTGCCAATTAATCCTGTGGGGACTCCTGATATTCCAGTCACCTGATTATTGTTTAGCCTCTTGCGGTAGGCTAAGTCAAGAGGAGTTGGTTCAAGCGTAGAAGACTTAACCAAACATTGCAGCAAAAATAAATCCCAATAGGTTCTAGTTGCTCACTTCAGAGTGGAGTGGAGTATTTCATGCTAGGACCTTGTAGTCTTTGGCTGCCTTATTTCCACATTAAACATGAAGGGATAGCATAGTAATTTTATCAAACTCTATCAGACTTGACTTGATGACATACCCTTGCTTTAAAGTACTGTGTATGTGTGGTGCTTTACTGGAGAATCCAGTAAACATTACCAGTCTTATAAACTTTATAATTAAAATCCCTTGTTTTTGAAACCGTATTGTTCTACCTAGGATTTTGGGACATGCCCTTTCTTGGTAACTATAATCTACCAGTAATTTTAACCATCTCCTTTTGTTTCATCTTTTTCTGTGGTTGTACAGGAAAATGGAAATGAGCATATGGAATCACTTCATGTGGTGACTATACCAATGCAAAACACAGCACATGCAGTACAATTAAAGTGTATCTCAAAAGGTGTGAGCACCCCCCTGACCAGACTAAAATAAAATCCATCCGTATTCAGAGAGGGGGGGGGGTGTTCAAATTCATTACATTTCTTGGAGAGGAGCAATACCGAGAAAAGAAAGATTGTAACTGAGAAACGACTGTTCTAAGAGTGGAATTCTGTAGGATTCCACCTTTATTCAAATACTAGAATTGTTTAGGAGAAAATCTCCCTTGGTGGTTGTCCTCTCTCCATTCCCTGCCCCCCAAGCATTATGGAAATGGAGAGAGGATTCCTCTTGTACCATCAGGCCCCTGCATGGCTCTTTAGATGGCACAAGCAAAAATAAGAAATGTGGTGTGAGTATCAGCTTATACTTTTAAGGGTTGCTTGTTACTGGAAACATCAGGTGCAGTAGCAGACTGTATTCAACAATAACTTTATGTATGTTAGTTGAAATGTTTAGATAACAAATGATTATTCTTTTCTTTTCTTAAAGAAGCAGAGACAATTGTAGAAGCCAGATTGAAAAACAACAACCCCGTATCATCGGATGCTCTGAAGAAGCAGGAAAAACAACATTTGGTCCAACAGGCTAACACTGGAGTTTCTTTTGTTCTTATTACAACACTTCTAATTATTCCTATTGTTGTTTTGTTGGCAATAGCGGTATTTATTCGGTGGAGGAAGACAATGGTGTATGGAGGTAACTATGCATAATTTTTAAATTCCAGATCAGGATTTTCATATTCAAATAAATCATTAAAGAACAAGGAACAAAAGTATGCAGAGAGGCTACATTTAACCACTTGTACAGATAGCAAGATACTGCATCCAATCTAATTCTGGCATGCACAAGTGAATGCATCTTTAACTGCTTTTATTTTATCTATCCAACCCATGAATCGTCCTTGTAATTGCAGTCTGAATAAAACCTGGTTCTGAAAGCCCAGACATATAATTCCAACATTTTATTATTTTGTTTTAGTCAAGTCCTTTATTTTAAAATTCAATGCAGAGCTTGCTTTTCACCGTGGGAGTTTTTTAGAATCTTTTGTTCTTCAGAATAAGTGCTATTTTTTAAGTAAGCGACAGATAAAGGTGTATGCAAAATGCAAGCAGTTAATTGTCTGAGGAAATATAAATTCCTGTTCATCTTGAGTATATTTTGTATCAAGCATTATGTGCCGTCCTCCCTTGGGAAACCAGCTGTGACATCTTTAATGAGCAGTTATAACACTAACAATGTGAAGTTTTCCCTCGGTTCATATTGTGCTCGTCTATCGTAATATGGTCTTTCTTTGAAACTATTACAATGCAGTGCCAGTTAAATGTTCTTTCCATAGGTTATTTGTATGATATATACCTTTGCCAAATTTTCATTAAAAGTACATGGAATAAAATGTACAGGGACCATGCAAATCAAAGTTCCTCCAGTATTATAAGCTAAGAAAGTAATGTGAAATACTAGAATATAGTTTGAGTAATCTGATAGTTCTTTGCAATTGATCTATGAATTCTGTGTGAAGAGTAGAAAGTGTAGCTGTTATCATGGCCCTTTTATATGTTGAGACCTGGGAGATGCAAGAGGCTTTTTTGTGGTTTGATAAAACAATCCCCAGAAGGCCAAGGCATCATAGAAAGCACCAGAGGCATAACAATGCAGCTGGGTGCCTGGAGCAGCTGCAAGATGAGGGGTCAGCAGCAAATTCTGGCTGCCATCATGCTTCCAAGTATGGCAGCATGGTTGCAGGAGCAGTGGGTTTTTTTCTGTGGACCACCCCTTCTATAAGTGAACACCCATGGCAGCTGCCCCAGTCACCTCGCTCTAGAGTTGTGCTGCTGGAAAATGATATAAAACCTCTTGGATCATTCCAGCAATCTCCCTACATCTACTGCCTGTTAATCCTTCTAGTGCCTTTTTTTAGAAAACTAATTTTTGGAAACACATGGATAAAACTGAACTTTTTAATTTTTGCCACTGGTAAAAAGAAAGCAACTTAGTTCTATGCTGTTGAACAGAGTTCAAACTGAGTTCTAAGTTTTATGCTGATTTGAGAACACACACACACGCGTGCATACACACACACGCATAATATATATGTGTGATATATGACTCTGTGCGTGTGTGTGTGAGTGATACAATGGAAAGTTTAGCCCTGGGATTGCTTCTTTTTTTTTCAGGTTTGGGATTGCAAAGTCAAGTCTCTTTTTTTTCGGTAGCTCAGGAAATTTTTAGACAAGGGAGATATTTACTAGGCCTGTGCAAAGCAGCTAGCATTCACTTTGGATTCAGATTCAGCCAATTCGAGAGACAAGTGATTCTATTGGGTGACTCAAATCACTGTCCCGAATCAATTTGGCCAAATCTGATTCAGAGATTCGGCTGCAGCTGAATTGGCCAAATCTCCAAATCAGACAGGCCCCATCCCCTGCCCACTCTCCCAGCCCCGTCAATGACTGCCCCGGCGACCCCAGTGTCCCAGCTCTTTAAAAAAAAAAAAAAAAAAAAAAGTCCTGTACTCACTGGCTGCTTCTGGGGTTGGGGGAGCAATCCCTGCTGACCCCCACTGCCCTGGGCTGCATGGGGGGCTCTGCCATGAGCCCCCAGAAGCCCTGATGGCCACTGCAGCAGCTGGCAAGTGCCGGCCTGTTTTCCTTT